ACGTCGTTTAGCTTCTGATAAGTTGGTTTCAACCAAACGAGAGTTCGGCGTTATGCTTAAGGTGGGTGTAATACGACTTCACAAAGTCAGTGGGCCTCGCCACTCCACTCCACATGGTGTCTAAAATGGCCGCAGGGGAATGGCGCCCATGCGGTGATTACCACGGACTCAATAGTCCCACCATCCCGGATCGCTATCCGATCCCATACATCCACGATTTAACAGTTAGTCTTAACGGTGAGTCGATCTTCAGTAAAACATATTTGGTTGGGGCTTATAACCAAGTACCTGTCGACCTGGTGGATGGGCCTTAGACCGCTGTCATCAATCCGTTTGGCCTTTTCGAATAATGTTCAGACTACGCAATGCTACACAGACGTTTCAACGTTTCATCGACGAGGTTAGATTTCGTTTTTCCGTATTTAGATGACATACTTGTCGCAATTAAGGACGCCGCCGAACATGAAGTGCACTTACATACACTGTCAACGTCTACAGCAACATGGTATTACCATTGATCCAGCTAACTGTGAATTAGGTGGTGAATCCTTAGTTTTTCTAGATCACTATATTGATCGTCAGGGATTCCGTCCAGTGGAGGACAAAATAGCAGCCATTCGCGATTTTCCTCCACTTAAGACAGCTATCGAACTCCGGCACTTCCTAGGAATGATTAAATACTATCGTACATTCATCCCGAAAGGCGACCAGGTAGTTCATCCACTCACGGACCTGCTTAGGGGAAACCCCAAGGTTATCGACTTAAATACATCAGCTCAACAGGCTTTCGATACCATTAAATTAGCACTCTCCAATACTGTTTTATTGGCACATCAGGACCCTGGAGAAAAGTTAAGTTTAACAGTAGACGCTTCAGATATCGCGGCCGGCGCAATCCTCCAACAGTGGAAAGACAGTTTCTTGCAACCTTTGGGTTTCTGCTCGCAACGTTTTTCAGACGCAGGGGCTACGCACAGCACTTTCGGTCGCAAACTATTCACCGTACACTGTTCGTCACTCACTAGAAGGTAGTGATTTCGTCATCTTCACTGACCGTAAGCCACTCACGTACGCTACAAAGAGGCAATCTGAACACCGTATCAGATGCTTACATTAACTGAAAAGTATCAGGTACGCGTAACTTAGCTTTCACATGCACTTAGTTATTATCATAAACGTCAGAATAACAATCATATTAATCCCATTAATCCCAATCGGTCACTCATAATCGCACAGTCTTAGAGATCACTCATCAAAATTGGCGATGATGTCTCTGGGCAGTTGCTGCTATTTACACGCTTCATGCATCACGAGAAATATTTACATTACCTAAGTCCAAATTCTTTCAGTATCCAATAGGCCGGTGTAATGATATGCAAAGCGGACCAATACTGCATCATTTGGCATCTTTGCATTTACTTTCTCTCGGTCAAAAGCTGTTATACCAGCAGGACTAGGCCTCTATCCGAGCGAATTCGAGAATTTCATCATTCGCAACCGCAAAGTCTTACTGATCACATTTTGTTGGACCTGAAAAAATCAAGTGCGTCAATGAACGGTCCCAATCACGCCCATTTTGGTGCCGAGTCAAAATCTGGCGTACCTACGATACTGATGTGTCCGGTTGCACTCAGAGACGTCAGCATCCAGTTTCTCTGCGCTGAAAACCAATCGTACATGTACTCCATCCCCGACTGTCAAACTGCATTCATTAGCCCTGAAAAGGTAATGCTTGATGCATACAACCATAGGTCTTGTAAATTCTTCATAAATATATGGTTTCAGACTACAAATTTGGCTTCAAAGAGGAAATGGAGTGAGATTAGGCAGAGGGCATTGAGTGTTTAGAAAATGACGTTCTTCGTGAAACTAAAGCTACACTACTTAAATTGCGCAAAAGGGCTTCTCATGGATTCCACATAGCGCGGAACTCTAGTATACCGTTGCTCAAAAGACATGAATACTCTTGGTTGTCGGAAGGCGTATAGTGGCACGAGATAGTAGCAATGCGTATCAGAAATGACTACTCACGTACGTGAGTTAACATAACAGGAGAGAGTGCGTGGTTGAAACAGAACCTAGCTCTTAGTGCTATACACGAAGAGTTAATTTGTGCTGGATAAACACAAACAGTAATAGAATGGGAAAACGTGGCTTAATAACAAGTGGCATGGTTAATTGTCAATGGCAAAAAATATCATCGTGTTTTAGGTGCGGATAGTTGTATTCTAACAACAACAACCGCTCTACACCATCTCCGATGGACTGGTAAATTTAGTGTCTGCCAGTCCATTTCATAACCTTCTGTGCCCTCTTTGTACGTGCTGGAAGAAGCGCTCCGACGGTTAGACCATGGCCTGGTGTAGAGTTATGAAGAAGGTAACCTCCCCTCACTTTCGGTTGGTGCAGCTCACCTTTCACGCTGAGGCCCAACGGAACGAGTATATCCGAAGGTTAGAGACCCTGAGAGATATTACCGAGAACAGAAGTCAATGGTGCGAACGCTGTGCATTTGACCTGTTGAAAGCCCGTACCCCGTAAAAACAAACGAAAAAACCAACACACAAGAAATTGTAGCAGTTCTTCAACCGACAGTTTTCTATTCTTGCTTTTCTCTAAGCTTCCTGATAAGCTGGCCGTGATCATCAAATCACGGACCAAAAGCAACTTCATTTTACGCTGGTGACCAGCATCAGGACAAGTTCAGTTTCTAATCTATCACGAAATGGTTACCTAACCATGGCATACTTATCAAAACCCTCGAGGTACTGATATCAAGTAGCAACGTGGCCCCCTCGATTAATACAAAAGATAGGCCACCGTTAATCTTTTCCTTCATAAGGACCCTTCTTATATACCGGGCACAACCAAGTGTACCTTCGAGATTTAGCACGTATCACCATTATTTGTCTTCAAGAGGAAGTTTCTTCGCTAGATATAGCAACCTGGACACTTCCAGAATTAAGTTTTGCTTTAACCATGATCGTGCTTTCAATTAGCTCGAAAAGACCGCAGCGGCACAATTCCCCACGGTGAGCTCCGTATCACACGCTTTCCTTGCATTGATCAAATCTACTTTCAGGTTTGCACTGGCGTTGCTAAAATAACAGCCTAAGCATAGCCAAACTTACTTCTAGCATTTCGGAAGTTTCAGAATATATCAATTCTACAATCCACAATCCTTGGTTCTGTTTCCTCTTGGGACGGATATCTAGAACAAAAGTGAGCAAATATTAGTGACAGGTTCTGACGAACTTTAGCAATCACCTTCACCAAAAAATATCGGGCATGGTACCGTGAAATAAACAAAAAACTGTAATTGTGTGACCTCCATCACTTTGTTTTTTATCCCCATTCCCCCCACTCGCTGGTATTATTGTTTTTACGTCTGAACCCCGCCTATCCATAAGCCAGATATATCTGTATATATTCATAAATGAGAATGTCTGAGGCTCAGGTTCCATATTATGAGATGAGCTCTGAGTGACAGTATTTATTATTAATATTATTTTATTTAACTTTTCATTCCCGACCACGAGGCGTAGGCCAATTAGTGTAAATAAATTGTCTGCTTGTGCCTCGCGCTGTGATTTGTCGCATTTTTGTCCCCCAATCCTACGTTCCTCACTGGTTGTACAATCGTTGCGTAATGTTTATCAATTTCGACGTGTTGATTGCATGGTTGTTCGAATGAAGCGCGTCAAGGATCAGAGGTTCTTCTCTGCCTTTGTCACTACGGGACCAGGACCAGCGACACGACAAAATTGTAGTCCGCTACAGAAGTCAACTCAGGCGCAAAGGTTTGAATGCTTACTCAGGTCATCCGTTTATCCTCTCGCAACTTCTCTCCTTTCTTGCAAATGCGTGCGGGTACCATTATGTTGGAAAAACGAAATTATTCACCAGTTTCGAGTTTGAAGTGACCGTTCAGACGATGTTCTTCTTTGTTGTACCCTAATTTAATTTTTTTATCTTAATGGCTTTTCTTCTCCGCGGTTATGGGAACCGTCGACACTCCAGTCTAACTCCTTAGGATGATTCTTAGTGAGGGTTCTTGTAGCCGCTGATGGCGATGAAACTGCATTTTCATATTTGCTAGTGGGGCCTTATGGGGCTCGCTATTCAGTCTTAGTTCCTATGAGTGAACAGTAGATAGATCCTCGTCACTATAAGGTTTTACCCCTCCTGCAAATCACGTACCTCTCATATTAATAAAGATCATACCATGATTTATTTGGCATACAATCTGAAATCAGACGGTGTGATAAAAAATTCTATACCAGATCACTAATTGGGTATTTCCTTCGATTCAGATCGACTCAGCATAACCTGCACCACCCCGGAGGGCAGACAGCAGAAGAAATATGCAAAAAGTATATCACATGAATATGAACGGGTATTCAGCGTATAAGGTTGCAAGAATCCCATTATTACACAAAACTCTAGTTTCAATTACGCCTCATCATACAGTTATTGCCGATGTCATATAATTGACATCCATAGTTGGGTCTTGTATACTAAGTACCAGAGTGGGAAACAGTGAAGTTCTTCTACGTAAGCCGAGCTAAGTGAGCAAAGGTGTGCTCTAAACAATGAATTAGATTAAAAAGCGTCGAATGCTTAGTCAGCTCTCCGCATCACAACTACGAAATACAATCGGTCAATTAGCATTGATACCAGTTCGATCAAGCATTAATATATATGTAACTTCCGACAAACACTCAAAAACCAGTGTTTGTGGAGAAGGTACTTGAAGAAGGACCGCTTTACTGTTGACGCGCAAAAGTCGAGGGGCTGCAGCAGGAGACGCCGGAAATTGGTAGGTTCGAAATATGATTTACCAGAGCTTCGGAGTTAGTGCAGTTGTTTCCACAACGGGACGAACACAAGCCCCAGAGTTAATGCAATATCGTCAAGTGAGTAACGAGTAAGTTTCTTCTTTGTGGTCGTGCATGACATTCACGGACGAGCTTAGAGATGGACCCAACAAGATAGACCGGTTATTGAGATGATTCGCCGTGATGCTTCCTTGTGTAGTAATTGAATGTATAGCGTGTGTCGGGGCGTATTACTTCAAATCCACCTTCCAAAGTGCCAAATACCTCATCGGCTTTGCGTACGACAAATACACCACCGGAATTTTGGAACTGATTGCAATAATTTGGTGCTGAGAATAAGGTGATTAGTCGATTTTCATAATAGAATTCGTAGCCGTCCTCGACAACTTGATGTGCTCGAACAACCAAGTCCAACTCATACTTGTCCAGAAAAGTGTTGATCACATCCACACCGAACGTGAACGAACATCCACGTGTGCTCGGATGCCAACCAGTGGGGAGGTCACCGGCTTGATTATAGTCAGCCGGATCGGACCAAAGTAAGTCACACAACAGACCTTGTCGAGGAACTTCGGTTGGTCGTTGAATCTGGTTGATTAAAGCATCCAGTGGCTTGTGCACCTCTGGTATAAGGTCGGGAGATAAACCACCGTGACAGCAAAAAATACTATTCTCAATCACTGCCGCTACAGGCATCACGTTGAAGACAGATACGAAATGCTTGTGAATTTTTGATTTTCCAAAGCGTTCTTTTAATTCTTCCCGAAACCCGTAGACCCGATTGACAATCTCACTTTCATGATTGCCCCGAAGCATGAAAAAACCGCGGGGGTATTTGATCTTTAGAGCGAATAGTAGACAAACAGTTTCCACGGACTGTTGACCTCGGTCAACATAATCACCCAAGAACAGAAATCGGGATCGCGGTGGATATTCGCAGACATCAAAAAGTCGAAGCAGATCGTAAAACTGACCATGAATATCTCCACACACTTTGATGGGAGCTTGTATGCGCAGAAGCATGCTCTCACTCTCGAATATTGGTTTGACTAAACAGCACAAGGCGATACATTCCAATTCAGATATATTGACTCGTACACCCGGTGTAGAAATGTTTGATTTTAAGTTGTCAATTACCTTGTCCAAATCGATTTCGTAAGTCGGCTTTGATGGATCAGCCATTTTTATGCCTAATTGTGGGCGACTGCAACTACCGGTGAACCAAATCAGGTGTAGATAGCATGTCCGTAAACTGATTCGACACCAGAATACACCATTTAAATCATCGACGTAAGCAAACCGCCTAGTTAGAAAAAAGATCGATGAACCTACACAGACCACGTGACTATGAGAAGAATAACGAGATATGGAGCACGATTACAGATGTCTGAATAGGCACATGAGCGCGAAATGCACCCCACAAATTTGTCAATGCCTGAAATGATAGATAACGGACTAAGCTAACGGATAGGTCGGTTTCAGTTTTCAACGCAATAAACCATTTACTTTGAGCTTCAGAATGGTCATTCAGCGGTACGTGAATTTAATTAGAGAATAAAAGATCGATGAATCAATTTATACATATATATATATGCATTGGATAGTACAGCTATTTCAACTATGTACAACGGGAAATTCATTGAGAAGACCTAGTCTATGCCCGCAGAACCCTCCTTTCCGATGCCACATATGACAGCGCGCAAATCCCTCAAACGTCAGCTCATCAAGAGTCTGAGGAATGACCGCAAGGAGTGGTGGGTAGAAAAGTGTAAAGAGATGGAAAAAGCTGCGACTATTGGTAATACTCCCAATCTTTTCCATCTAATTTGGAATACGGGCCCCAGGAAAATAGGTGTAAGTAAGATAATTAAGGAATCCACGGAAAGTGGTGTTCGTCAGGATTGCCCTCTTTCTCCTCTTCTATTCAACTTTGTTATATACCTGATTGAAACAGCCCTATCCTCGTGCAAGGATAGCGGTATCGATTTACTTCCGGGTGGCAGACTGTCTGATCTAGAGTACGTCGTGCAAGGATAGTGGCATCGATTTACTTCCAGGTGGCAGGCTGTCTGATCTGGAGTACGCAGACGGCATTGTCCTACTAAGTGAAGATCCAAGTAAGTTGCAAGCTTTTCTGGATAACTTGAATGCCAGTGTAGCCATATTCGGTANAGTGTAAAATGTTGCTACAAGACTGGGTTGGTCCAGTACCCAGCCTCACTCTTACTGGAGAAGTAATAGAGCTGGTGGATAAGTTTTGTTATTTGGGCAGCTACATGTCACCCGGTGGAGGCACCACGGATGAAGTGTCAGCTCGCATTGGCATTTGCTAACTTGAGACATCTTTAGCGCCATCGCGAAATCC